GGAATTTAATTGAATGGGTTTTGATTTGTGTATATGTATATTTATGGTGGTAATAAAGTGAAAAAAAAAAGAAAGAAATAAGCAGCAAACAGTCACATTAACGTTCTAATTTTTTAATTATACCAACGGTGGAAACTTACCAACGACATAATACCGCCAGTGAAACAAACAAAGCGGGGTGGTGTTCACTGCCAGTAATGCTTGCCAAATCAGCATGCCGATGGTAATTCCTTTATGATACCCTACATCCTTAGGATGAAGGGTTTACTCATATTTAAGGGGACAATATATAATAACCAACATGCACATCACCACAAACCAAGTTGCTTATGCTTGCGTAAGATAAAGTAAGAGGTTGTTTGGTAGCATCTGTAAAGGCTTGGATGATGTAAAGGCTCTGTATTAATATATATATATATATATATATATATATATATATATATATATATATATATATGAATGATAAATTGATGTTTGGTGATGCATTTGAATATTTGTCTCTTAATTGTGAAAATTATAATTTTTAACCCTCTGAATTATTTGTTACTATTTGGTTGGCCATCTAAACGACTATGCTGAGTGATATTGAATTTGTAAATAATTATAAATAAAATACAAAACATCATATAAAATCAAAATTAAACCTAAAACAAAATCCTAATTAAAATTCATACAACATTCAAATTAAACATCATATGACATCAAAACTAAAGAACACAAAAAGAAATTAAAAGTTTGTGGTCATAAAAAATGAACTGCAAATTTGAGTGCAAAATATTTATAAAATTATAGAACAAATAGAACAAAAAAGATTGTCATCACCAACAATTCCAGAATACAATCTCCCACACAAACAAAGAACATCATCCAATTCCCATTCCGATATCAAATATTATAAAGATCTTCAAGGCCTTTCTCTCTATATATTCATCCATCCATCCAATCTATGTCTGGAGTTTAAGCATTTTCTTATGGTGATTAAAGTTTATGTATAAATACCATGAATTTAATACGATCAACTGTAGAAAGGCAATTAAATGAAAACTAAAGTACCTCATAGTTTGCAGGTATCTTATATCATCAACAAAGATACTATCATTTTGAATTGATGACAACGAGTTTTCTTCTCTTACAAAAAGAAAAGAATCTTTCATCTGACCCAAATCTAACAAAAATGATTTAACCTTTTATACTTCTAAAAATGCATACTTTATATATATATATATATATATATATATATATATATATATATATATATATATATATATATGCAAAATTACTCTCGCCCGTACACCGGTTTCAACAATTTTAAACAGGTTTTATTAATTTTGAACCTTTTATTCATAGCAACAAAATCCAACAACAATAGATCAACAAAAATCAAGCAAGAGTATAGCAAATTTCGGAGTTCAATCATAAGATAGAGCAATAAAAACATGAGAAATTAGCAGCAAAAACAAACTCAACACCAATCAACAAAGTGAAGAAATATTTTTGGAGTTCAAACACAAGATAACAGGTTTTAGGACTTGAAAATATCAATTGCACAAAAATCGAACATGTAAGCACAATAACACAACAAGAACAAAGAAAAATCAATCATAAAGATGCTTGAAAAAACCAACCATAAAGTTGCTTGAAAAAACCGACCATAAGAACACAATAAGAAAACTTACTGACGAAGGGGAAGACGACGAAGGCGGAGGTGGAGCGGCGTTGTCGGAGGTCCGATGGCAAGATGAGAATCGACACTAAGAAGTAGAGAAAGAGAGAACGTTGATCGATGGGAGAAGAGGGGGAAAAGAAGGGGACGTTTCTATGGGGACAAGGGTATCAGATGGAAAATTTTCATATAGACTTCTCAACAAATATGACCGTTCAAGATCCATTTCTTTTATGTCTGATCGATTAAGAGGTTAAAAAGCTTCAATCGGAAACTGTGAATCTAATGATCCAAAGCCAACTCTTTATATGATTAAGAAGCCAAACAAAAGAACAAATTACGCAAATGGTCCTTTAGGTTTTGGATTTTTCTCTAATGTAGTCCCTACGATACTTTTTTCCCTCAAATAGTACTTACGGACCATAAGTTGCACGCGTTTGGTCCCCGAGTTGGATGTCCGTCCATTCCAACGTTAAGCTGCCCCTATGTGACTTGCAAATGAGGGTATTTATGTCATTTTAGCCTAAAGGACCTTTTCTGAACATATAAATTAACGCCTATATTACTTCTTCTTATTATTCCTCCTAATTCAATCGATCACTGCTACTGTTAGAGAAATAAAGCTGTGGAAAATGCCGATATGTGCTTGGAAATCATGATCTGGCCATCGTCACTTCCTGGTCATATCGCAACCCTGGAAGGCGATTTTGGTCTTGTCTTCGTAATGAGAGAAGGTGTGGTTAGATTGGGTGGTTTGATGAGCCCATGTGCCCTAGATTAGTGGAAGTGATACCTGGGTTAATCAGGTCTATGAACAAGCTCCAAGAATCTCTTCAACAACCTCCACTACAAGCTAGGATGTATAAGTTAATCATTCTCTTCAGTTGGGGTCTTTTTGCAATTCATTACTTGAAGCATGGTTGAAGTTGCCTCTGAATGTGGTGTATGAATGCAAGAAGCAGTGTCGTAGTCATAGGGTTAATGTATTGGTGGACTTATTTTGAGTCTGAAGACAGGAAATTGTAGCATGGTTTATGTAATGTTTGTGTCCTTTTTGAGTTTGACTACAGGAAATTATGTTCTGGTTAATGTTGTCTTAATGTTATAGTCTTTTTGTAATCAAATGGTTTAATTTCAGAACAAGGTTATTGTGTCATGGATTTGTGCAATCAAATATTATTGACAAGAACACCAATTCAACATGCATGACCATACACTTTGAATATCACAAATACTAGTTGACAAGAACAAAAATATAACAAAAATGCTATTGTATATCACAACAGCAATTGATATTGTTTCATAGTTTACCTATGTGTACAATGATTCAAGGTCAACATGCATGACCATACAAAATAAGGAGCCCAAAGTAAGTATTGTTTGGTACATAAACATAGGTGTTAACATAAAAATAAAAGTAAAGTGCAAATTACATCAAAAAACCTAATGGTTCTCAACAACACCCCCATCCTCACTTCTATCCTCCTGTTTCTTCAGTTCTTTTGTCATTAGGGCCATCTTGACCTTTACAAGTTCTTGAGTTATTCCCTTTGTTGTTGCACTTTCCACATGTGACGGTGGTCCACCTATTGGACAGTTTATTCCCCTGTGTAGCAGGTTCATCATATGCCCTCTTTCTTTTCTTCTTGGGCTTACCCACCTACAAATGTACATAAGATTAAATTGTTGTTCTTAAAAAACTACAATTATATTGATATATGAAGACATACCTGCACAACATGTTTGGGTGGAAGCAACTTGGTTGGGCATTGTGATTTGGGCCACACAAATCTACCATTTATAGGTTCAATTTTGTGTATGTACACTTCTGCCCATGTAACTAGCTAGTAGCATGGGTGGACCCAATGCTCCAACTCAGGAACATTCTTTGCTCCATGTTTAATCTTGTCCCATATTGCACTTACTACATGTGAGCATAACATGCCTGTAATTTCCCAATGTCTACATGTACATGTTTTTTCATCCAAATTCACAATATACTGATCACCCCTAATGAGTAGTGACTTGGGTTTTAACCCCATGACACCTGTGCTTTTGTGTTTGTCTTTTCATTTGATCAAGAAGACTAGTGGCAGTTGGTGTGAGAGGACCATGATATCTATCAATCTCTCTTTGGACATTGTAAATTCTCTTCATCAAATACTCTTTAATATACTCCAAACAATAAATGATAGGTTTGTCCCTACCACCTTGTATTTTCCCATTTAGAACCTCACACAGGTTATTCAACAAGATGTTAGTATGTGCCCTCCCTGTTTAGTCATATAATACAAAACGAGAACAAGTCCTAACAATGACAAGTAAATGTTAACATAAAGGAAAGATGAAGTACTAACCTGAGAAATGAGATCTTGCGCAATGAGTTGGAGGAATCAGTATCAGCCAATCATGAGCTTCAGCTTTGAATTTCTTTAGCTCTTTTAATGCTTTCTCAAAATGCCTTACAGTAGTAGCAGTTGCACATGCCCACACCAAATCTTTGAGCTCTTTATCCTTCCACTGTCTTTTCATATTTTCATAAATATGCCTCAGATAGAACCTATGCTCAGCTTGAGGGAAAAGTTTGGCAATTATAGGAATGATACCCTATTTAAATATTTCAATACTTAGTTGACTAAATAACAACAATATCAAATTAAATTGAAGTATATGTACCTTCTGCCTATCTGAGATGAAAGTGAAGTTTGAATTAGCATAAAGTTCCAGATCATCACCAAGTTGTTCCAAAAAACATGTCCATAAATTTGTGGTTTCATTCTCAATAAGAGCATATGCAAGAGGATACACCCCATTATTGGAATCTACCCATATAGCAGTCAAAATTTGACCATGATAGGGACCTTTCATGAAAGTACCATCCAACCCTATGAAATCCCTTAGATTAGCCTTAAATCCTTCCTTTAATGCTCCTAAACAAATGTAAATTCTCCTAAATGTCCTTGTATCATAATTTAAATTTGGCTCAGTGTAACAATCGATCTTCACATTAGTACCTGGTTTCTTTTCATCAACTCTAGTCCATAGTCCCTCAAAATAGCATGTTGTTTCTGAAAATCCCCAAAAACATGCTTTTGAGCCAATCTCTTTGCTCGATGTACCTTCATTCTTGACATGTTCATCTCGAATTTTTGGATGAGATCTTCTTGAAGTGCATTGAATGGAATGGTTGGATTACTCTCAATTTGCTTCATAAGTTTGTTGCAATTAATTTGTAGTTGCAAACTTTAATAGTTCTTGATTGCACACACCGATGTTCACTAACTAGGGTGTTCACCACCCAGTCATCTGTCTCTTTAGGTCTAGACACTAGTACAACCTAAGGACATTTACCCTCTTTCATATTTACTATTTTGTCCTTGATTCCAGCCCTTGACTTTGTCCATGGGCCACCACTCATATTTGGGACCACTCCTCTACACTTAGCTCTAATCCTTGTTTTGTCATTTTTTTCAAAATGTAAATCCCTTTTGGTTTCTACTGCATGTTTGTTTATATATTCTTTCACATCTTTCTTTGTTTTGAACTTATGTCTTAATGTGAAAGCCTTTTGATGAACTACACCCTCATAACAACTTTTTTCCTTTCTTATGTCTCTCAACATCCTCTCTTTGTTGTTATCTTCATCTACAATAGGTGACTCAAATGATTTTGGGTCTATGACCTCCAATTCTTCACCTTCAGTAAAGTCAACACCACTACCACTTGCTTCTTTGGTGTTTTTTTGAACCCACTCAACATCTTCATCAACATGTATATGAAATTCTTTCATATCAACATCCACATGATCTACAGTATTTTCTAAATCCACAAAGAATTCTTCGTCCTCACTCTCATCATATGTCATATTATCCTCACTCCTACTACCCTCACTCCAGGGACCCTCACTAACACTTTCCTTACTTCCATTGTATTCATACTAAAAAAACTCAACATCATGTAGATTTTCCCCCCACCCCCCCACCATATTCTGCATCCACATCCCCCATTACCTCATAATATCTACTGGATCAACATCACTTTTTGGTTGGTGCTCATCCCCTGTGTCAACATCTTTTTTATCATGGTTATCCTCAAACTGTACCCTCCTAAAGGGATCACTCTCTCGATCAACTAAGTGTTTTTTTGTTGATCACAGGTTCATAGGGTACAATTAACTTTGACAAATCAGTGGACTCATTCAAATCCAACTTTTTACTACATGACCCAATTGATTTCCTTTTCATTCTAACCCTATTCGTTTCAGGAGAATGATTCCCTTCAACTTCCTCAATACGAACCTGCAATGGGGACTTAAAGTAAGGGACTACTCTAGTATTTCCATGCTCGATGTACATATTAATTTCCTTATGATTAAGTACATACCTTGCTAGCTGAATGACTTCATGATCAGTGCCAAGGGGTAACAATCCACTATCCAAGTCTGTCTTTGGGATCATGAAATGGTAAAACATTATACCTCCATCATTGTACCCTAACACTGCCATCATATCATCTAACTCGTGGACTGAAAACACATCCATGTCCACAGAATCAAAGTGATCCACAAGTCCATCTATGTATGACCTTCCAGATACCGTATTTGTGAACGAACCCCCATGATTTATCTTGAATGTGCAAAGGCTTGAAATAGAACCTGATGTGAACATTCAAGAACAATAAAATGTTAATGATAGAGGAAAGAAAAATTACATTTCGTCAAAACCTAGCATTACAAGGTCCGTGCTTACCATATTCTTTACGTAGGTCAGGTGATTGGGTGTAGCGTGGACGTAAAGACCACAATGTGAGCACCATTTTCCTCGATACACCCTTCAATCAGTTGAACTGTTTTGTCGGACGATGATAAGAACTCAGGATTGAAGAAGATAGGATGATCAAAAGGTTTTCTTGGGGAAAGAGATAGGGTGTAAAGTCAATGTCTGAAACTAAACCCCGCCACCTTAATGGATATAGTTATTAGTTTATATGTTCAGAAAAGGTCATTTAGGCTAAAATGACATAAATACCCTCATATGCAAGTCAAATGAAGCAGCTTAACGTTGGGATGGACGGACATCCAACCCGGGGACCAAACGCGTGCAACTTATGGTCTGTAGGTACTATTTGAAGAAAAAAAGTATCATAGGGACTACATTAGAGAAAAATCCAAAACCTAAAAGACCGCATAATTTGTTCCAAACAAAAAGCCTTAGATAGAAAAGTATAGATGGAAAAGCAAAGGGTGATACTTTTCACCGAGTACATCTAAGCGGATTTAAACTCTGAGTACATCTAAGGGGACCTAAACTGTAACATTTATAGTTTGTCCCCGAGCACCAACCAAACTCCTCTTTTTATAAACCCAAAGCTATTGTCCTGCCGCCGTCAAGAGCAAAACCCTCAGTTCATCAACAATGTCGCAGTCATTGGAGCTTTTGCTTATTCAGTTCTTGATGCCCGACAATGATGCACGGCGGCAAGCGGAGGACCAAATTAAGAGGCTGGCTAAGGATCCACAGGTGGTTCCGGCACTCGTTCACCACCTACGAACGGCGAAGACGCCCAATGTCCGACAGCTTGCCGCCGTTCTCCTCCGCAAGAAGATCACTGGTCATTGGGCTAAACTCTCCCCTCAGCTTCGCCAGCTTGTCAAACAATCTCTGATTGAAAGCATCACTATGGAGCACAGGTTCGGAATTGCCATTGTTAATTAATGTTTACGTTATGTCAAGCAATTTCAATCTGTAGAATTTATTGTGAATGTTTCTGTGACGATTCTAATTGTAATTTAATTACTCCAGTGGTCCCAAATCAGATATTTTTTCGTGAAATTGAAGAAATCTTCTATCCTTTTGAGGTGGAAATCACCAAACATCTCAAAGCATTACGTTTGAGTAGTTTTATAGAAAGTGAAACATCTGTTTAAAGAACACGCATCAATTATGTTTCTTCTTCATTTGTGTTTTATGTATCCTGATCACCTTGTAGTTCTTCTTCTTCATTTTGTGCCTCTTATTATCTAATTATTATCTAATTAACAAAGTAAGACTAATTTTGCCTGATGGATGTCTTCTACTGTCAGTCCACCTGTGAGGAGAGCTAGTGCAAACGTGGTGAGTATCATTGCAAAGTATGCTATCCCTGGTGGAGAATGGCCAGATTTGCTTCCATTTTTGTTCCAGTGCAGTCAGAGTGCTCAAGAAGATCATAGAGAGGTGCTTTATCTTTTTTGATTTTATAATCTTAATTTGTTTTAGGAATACCAATATACTACACTCTGTATGCACACACATACATCATACATGTACTATAAGCATCATATCCACATGTTCATGTACTTTTTCAGCAGCATACAAATTATATTAAAAGAATTCTTTCTTTTTCTATGATGCCAGGTGGCATTGATACTGTTCAGCTCCTTAACAGAGACAATTGGTGATTCTTTTCGACCATATTTTGCTGATTTACAAGCTCTTCTACTCAAGTGCCTACAAGATGAGACTAGTAATAATGTTAGAGTGGCTGCCCTCAAGTAATGTTCTATGTCGTTATCTCTCCTTTTAAGTTTGGTTTTTAAGAAACAGATATAATGCTGACATCATCTCGAACAGGGCTGTTGGCTCTTTTATTGAGTTCACTCATGATGCATCTGAAGTGGTAAGTCTATTTGTTCCCTGGAGGGTAATATTGTAATTATTCTACTTGTTCTAAAGCTACATCCCTATCATATACACACAGATTAAATTTCGCGAATTTATCCCAAGCATATTAAATGTTTCAAGACAATGCCTTGCATCTGGTGATGAAGATGTTGCAATAATTGCTTTTGAGATATTTGATGAACTGATTGAATCTCCAGCACCTCTTCTTGGTGATTCAGTCAAAGCCATAGTCCAATTCTCTCTTGAAGTTTGCTCAAGTCCAAATTTAGACTCCAGCACACGCCATCAGGTTAGCAGTGCAAAAGACGTGAATGCCCTCAAATCATATCATGACTTCCTGTTAACATAATTCATGTTTCAGGCTATTCAAATAATTTCATGGCTTGCAAAGTTCAAATCCAGTTCCCTCAAGAAACACAAGTTAATCGCTCCAATCCTTCAAATCATGTGCCCGCTGCTTACAGAGTCCACCAATAGGGAAGAAGACGATGATGACCTGGCGCCAGATCGTGCTGCTGCAGAAGTTCTTGACACCTTGTCATTAAAGTTACCAAAACATGTTTTTCCAGGCGTCTTTGAATTTGCTACTTTGAGCAGTCAAAGTGTTGACCCGAAGTTTCGTGAAGCTTCAGTCACAGTTTTGGGTGTTGTTTCAGAGGGGTGTTTGGAGTTAATGAAAGAAAAACTTGGACCAATTTTGCAAATTGTGTTAGGGGCTTTAAGAGACCCTGAACAGGTTGTAAGAGGAGCTTCCTCTTTTGCATTAGGTCAATTTGCAGAGTATTTGCAGCCTGAGATTATTTCACATTATGAAAGTGTTCTTCCTTGCATTCTAAATGCCTTAGAAGATTCTTCTGATGAAGTCAAGGTAAATAGATATTATTACAAAGTCTTTATCTTCACACGTTAATGAAATTCAATTCTATTTTTTTTTTCAGGAGAAATCATACTACGCATTAGCTGCATTTTGTGAGAACATGGGTGAAGAAATTCTTCCTTTTCTTGATTCTTTAATGGGAAAACTATTTGCTGCATTGCAAACTAGTCAGCGAATGTTACAGGAAACATGCATGGTAAAAACACAATCTTTTTGTAATTATCTTGTAAATGATTTAATTTTTGATAACATTAATGACATTCTAGAACTTTCTATTTTCTTTCTACAGTCTGCAATTGGTTCAGTTGCATCTGCTTCAGAGCAAGCATTTCTTCCATATGCTGAACGAGTTTTGGAACTCATGAAATCTTTCATGGTGCTTACAAATGATGAAGATCTTCGTTCGAGGGCAAGAGCTACAGAGCTTGTAGGAATAGTTGCCATGGTTGTGGGAAGGGCAAGAATGGAACCGATTTTACCTCCTTTCATTGAAGCTGCAATTACCGTAATACCCCTCTCTTTATTTCCATCTAAATCTTTATATTTTCAAGTGTTTTTGAGTTTGACTAGTCACTAAATATAAACTTAGGGGTATGGGCTGGAATACAGTGAACTTCGTGAGTATACTCATGGATTCTTCAGCAATGTAGCAGAAATCTTGGAGGATGGAATGATTCAGGTATTTGAAAAAAAAATTAAAAAAATTTGTGAGTGTGTGTGTGTGTATGTTAGTTTGTGTTATGTGTGACATAACTTTATATCATAAAAAAACAGTATCTTCCACATGTTGTCCCTCTGGCGTTTTCTTCATGCAATCTTGATGATGGATCTGCTGTTGATATTGATGATTCTGATGAAGATGAAAATGTGAATGGATTTGGTGGAGTTTCATCTGATGATGAAACTCATGATGAACCAAGGGTGAGAAATATCAGTATAAGAACTGGTGTTTTAGATGAAAAGGCTGCTGCAACTCAAGCTCTTGGTTTATTTGCCTTACATACAAAGAGTGCTTATGCCCCGTATCCTTTGGATTTATAGTTTTGTAATTTTTTTTTATAAACCAACTTAACTGTAGCCTGTAGTTTCTTTAATAAAATTCAAGATATTTGGAAGAATCATTGAGGATTCTGGTGAAGCATTCTAGTTATTTTCATGAAGATGTTCGACTTCAAGCCATCACTGGCTTAAAACGTAAGTACCAACATCCATAATTACATATTGAGATTAATATTGTTATATACACATAAAAATACGAAATAAATGCTATTTTTGGGACATTACATTTTCCATTCCAAATTGCATCTAAAAAATATAGGAATGTTTTTGGTTGTATACATTGTTCTTTCCAGATCTAATGTTTAGTTGGTTTTGAATGGCAGATATTCTGACAGCTGCACATGCAGTCTTCCAAGGTCATAGTGTAAGCATTTTCTTGTCCATTTTTTTCTTTTACATATTTTTTGGAGTAAATTACACGAATGGTCCTTATGGTTTGGGGTAATTTGCGCGTTTGGTCCCTAACTTATTTTTTTTAACTCGGAAGGTCCCTACTGTTTGTTTTTGTTACGCGTTTGGTCCCTAATGTTTGTTTTTGTTACACGCTTGGTCCCTGTCTTACCCAAAACGACTATTATTTAAATAGAAAAAAATGATGGGGGAGGTAAGGTAAGGTGAGAGGGGTGGGGTTGAGGGTGTGTTTATTTAAATAGATTAAAAAATCAAGGGTAAAATAGTCTTTTTATGTATGATAGGGACCAAACACGTAACAAAAACAAACAATAGGGACCTTCCAAGTTAAAAATATAAATTAGGGACCAAATGCGCAAATTACCCTAAACCATAGGGACCATTTGTGTAATTTACTCTATTTTTGTAGTTGTTTTTGGTATTTTGTTTGTTCATGGAAGAGAAATCTTTTGTGTTTTTTTTTTCAGGATGGAGCATCAAAGGCAAAAGAAATTCTTGGTGAGTAGTTGACTTATTATCAGTGGCAAAAAATTAACCATATAACTTTTGGAATCTCAAGATTTTGACTCTGCTCTTTGATCTTTTCACAATTTTATAAAATTCAGATACAGTGATGACAATTTATATAAAAACAATGAATGAAGATGATGACAAGGAAGTTGTTGCTCAAGCTTGCATGAGTGTAGCAGACATGATCAAGGATTTTGGATATGTTACTGTTGAACCATGTATGGACATTTTTAATTTTTTTTTATATGAAACATGGTAATGTCTTTTAATTAATTTTTCTTTTATTGTGAAAAAAC